AATTTATATTGAATCATACCTATAAAGAAAACCAAAAACCCAAGAACAATGGGCTCTCCTTTCTCCCCAAAAAGGGTTGCAAAGTGTTCAGTTCCAATCGCTAGAGCACCGGCTATTAATGTGGCGAAACCTCTATTTAGACTTCTGCACAGTGTTGCACCTGAAAAAAAAAAACATTAACATTACTTAAAAATGAGAAAATTTGTGATTCCGATGTTCATATGTAATATAAGTAACCAAATATATATCAACAGTAGATTTATATATAACATGCATGTATAACTATATTTACGGGGGGAACAGATAGAAAGAGCTTGTTCAGGGAAGGTGGGGGGGAAGGGGAGAAGTGGAACACTGTGTTGGTTCAATCGAAAAATGGCCGATAATGCTTCTTAGGGTTGACTACTTAAGGTTTAAGATTCAAGCAGCTCGTTGCTACACGATTAGTCAAGCTAAACTAAGATAGAAAAGCGAGGTTATTTTAAGACTAAAATAACTTTATTTTTCTAGAGTAAACTCTGGACGTCTTTGACAAGTAAATTAGATGTATAACTTACCAACTGAGAAATCGATAACAAGCACAACAGTTAAGATTGCCCACATTCCTGACTGCCCGAAAGCATCATATAGAGGCCTCAAATAATAGAATAAGGAGACCAATGTGATAGCTAGTCCCGCCTTCAGTGAGTGTCTGATTCTTCTAGGATCATCTTCTCCGAGCTTCTTTGTTTTGGTTACAATCTCAAACCCTTTGGCCTTAAACTTCCCGGGCAAGGCCTTAAGCCATCCACACCCCCGACTGATCGGCCTGGTATTCTCTTGGGTGGCTGAACCAATTTCCATGGCTGAAGAGGTCGGAGTTGCACTTTGTATGGTGTGTGCGGACTGAGAAGTGATAAGAGAATATAGTCAAGTGAAAGGAGAAAGATAAGTAGACATTTTAAAGGTGGTCTCTTCAATCTTATAAGCTATATGGACCTTGGAGAGAAATGGTAACTGAGATAAGAAGAAATGGTCACTGATAGATAAGAATATGGAGATATCTCACCAGTCCAAATTGATAAGTAGTAAACTTGGAAAGAAGATAAATATATTTTAGTGACACTTACATGTGTAAGCCCTATGGGTTGTCCTTGGTTTGACCTTTGACGAGGAGACATAGATTTTCTTTGACAAAACAGAAGGGACTAAGCAAGGAGGCTGACTATGCATGTGCCCCAAATTGGGTTGTAATTAATAATAATAATAAAAAACCCTATGACTAAAAGCACAGACTCAAGCTTCCTAATTTTCTAGGTATTATGTTTCCATGTTAAATAATTCCCATTGATTAAGTCGAGTTTGTCAAGTTTAAGTATGTTTATATAGATTGTGATTTGTTAAGATTTTGAACTTGAGATCCGAGCTTGACTTGCATTCTTATTCAAGTTCAATTTAACTGAAGAATGCGAGCTTTCTTAGAAGGTACATCATCAGAATTCTACAATTTCAATTTTTTTTTTCATATCAATTTGAGAAGAGAGGAAAAATGAGGTGTACAACTATTTAGTAATAAGTTTAGGAGAGTTTAAGAGAAATTACATTGGAAGAGATCAATGCAAAATTTCACCTATATCTTGATTTGTTCATTCTTCTATGTTAGTACCGCAGTCACATTAAAAACTCTTCAAAGCTTGGTACCTTAATTTCTTTAAGAATTGGTCTCCTTGCGACGTTTTTTGAATTTTGTTGAACATTCTCTTTTGTTGGAATCAAATAATTTACTTACCAAAAAAACAAAATAACTCTTCAAAAAATGGTTCCTTAATTCCCTTTAAAGTTGTTCTGTTTGTCCTTTCGGACGTGTTTGGAGGTTCATTGAACATTTTCGTTTGTTGGAATGAAATTATTTATTTACCAAAAAAAACTCTTCAAAGCTTTTGGAAAAAATTGCATTCATTTTCCTTTTTTCATTGTAAAGAACAACGCTACAAGTTACTACGCGTGAAATGTGGATGGCTAAATTTCATTCATGTTTTTATCACTTTAAAAGGCATTACTTTTCACACGAGAGAGAGAGAGGGGCTAGTCATACTTGTTGACCAGTCAATGATCCACAGCATGTCTTGCACGGTTGCACCATTGATATGGGCCAGGTAGGCCCTTCCCCGGCCCCATCGCATGCTCCCTTTCTAAGCAGTCCATATGGACCATTTACACATTGGGTAAAGTCACGACTCACGAGCTATTATTTTTGGTTTTGCTAAGCCCGAATTGTCCTTTATCTTGGCCCGACAAATAAGCTCATTGCCTGATCCATTAGCCTGATAAAATTCAAAAAAATATAATAAATATTTAATAGGTCTTATTTGAATAAATCATAATAAAAATAAAAAAAGTCTATTGGGATCGACCTGACTAGTACCCCTTTAAGGCACGTTCATTATGGATGGTTGAAGGATAGATCCTGATTTTTTAGTCGATCAATCTGTTGATCAATCAATAACTAAGAAGTCGAATTTAAATGATAAAGAGTGAATAATAGGACGGAAACAAAATAGGTAACGAGCTACTCCAAAACGACCAATGTCTCTTGGCCAATTAACGGGCCAGAGGCCATTTCTATGGCTTCTTAATGGGTCATTGACTAGTCGGCCAGATAGGCTTGCTACATTCCATCACAAACACATATTTAAAACACTCATTTTGAGGCAACTCCATGATGATTAATATAAAATAACATATACGCTTCGTTTTAAAAAAAAAACCCAACTGACAACTGCTAAGGTATTATACTACTTCATGTGTTAAAAACGTATCTCTCAATCTTCATAATCAAATGATGCAAGACAAACTTTATAGTCTCTTAATGGCATATTCTATTTGAACCTGGTTTAGGTACGTCCCTTTAAGATTGTTTGGTGAATATTTTTTTTTGCACTTAGTTGATGAGGACGATAAGCACCATTTTTAGTGGAGCCTTTTGTTTATAGCAACCAAACATAATAAGATATTAAAATGTAAGCATGCACAAGCACATTTTTCTTTTCCAATAGAAAAAGAGAACAAAAAGCAAACCATAGAGGTTGATAATAATATAAATGATTTGCTAGCAGTAACCTTTTTATTTTTTTATTTTTCGGAGGGAATCTTATTGAAAAGTAATGACCGAATTGCTTTCACAAAACTTTGGGAGGCTCACATCCATAGTACGTGCATATCGATGGGTCTAAAATTTTATAAGCTTTTTTTTTTTTAAAGTTTAGGGGTGTTTGAGTCGATTTGCGCACATCTTGATTAGTTCTTTCTTTGATTCGGTCAAAGACAAGCCATCCATGAAGAATAAATCTTTTATGGCCTAGCCTTAAGGTGTTGCTAATATTTAAATTCAAAACGTCTGAATTTATAACTCGTTCCTATTATCACTTGTGCTATGTCTTGAAATTTTTAATAAGCTTTGGTGGTTGGTTGCCTAATCAACTTTTTGGGTCCTACTGAAGATAAAATCATATTATATATATTGTTTCCTAGGTGAAATTTCAAGATACGAGTGCTGAAAATGAATTATAACACGGTTGATTAAGTATGAATGCAAGTGTCTAAATGAGTTGTTTTGTAAATCTATCATGATTTCGTAGAAAAATTAGCTCAAAGTGTAAAAAAAAGTATTAGTGGGAAGTTAGTGTTGGGGAATCCTATCAGCCTATAGATAAGTAAGTGTGCATCCCTAAAGCTTTACCAGCATGCAAGTTTAGATGTATATTGTATAATGCTAAAATGATTTGAATCTAGTCTCTAGACCTAATTTTTTGCTAGCTTCAACAACTAGGCTCAACTTTCTTGAAAACAAAAAAAAAAAAAAAGTCATGTTATTGATGTTAAAAATTCAAACTAATTTTGTTTTTTGTTTTAATGGTTAGGAGTATTCGGGTCAGCTTATATGTACCTCGGTCAGGGGTGTTGATCGAATGATGTGTTAAAGAATATGATTCCAATGACGAAGTTGAACATATGCACTTGTAATAATGTTATTGAACCATTTTATTACTATATCACCGACTCAACAAATTAGATCATATATTTAAAGTACAAATAGTACTGGTCCAACAAATATGAAGTGGGAAACAACTCAAACTACAGCCCTAGAATTCCCCAATTCTTTCATGTTTCTCCTTTTGGTTGGACATCATGAGTTGCTAAAGTGAGGCTCCTTAGCCTATTCATTGGTAAAGAAATTGTACACCACTCATTAACATTCATTCGTTTTTTCTTAGTGAACCTTGTCACTCGTAAACTTCAATACAAATAGACTAGCATTATGCTGATACAGTGGCCACCGTACAACTTAATGCTTTTGTTATAATTAAAGCTAAAAACATTCTCCTACAACACCACCTTCTCAACCTTAGAATTAACAAAAATTCTGTCTTTTTCACTATGTCTTATTTATCTTTTCTTTATGATTTAGCACCATTTCTTTACTTAGACCCGCTAATCACAAAATCCATATTGAAATTGGTAAAAAAAAGAAATTATGAAGTTAAGGTAATCGTACCAAACGGAGCATTAGTTTCATTTTTTATCATTTCATTTTTTATCGTACCAAACGGAGCATTAGTTTCTTTAAGAGTTGTTCCTCCATTTGCGATGTGTTCAGAGGTTTGTTGAACATTCTCTTTTGTTGGAATCAAATAATTTACTTACCAAAAAAATACAAAAAAACTCTTCAAAAATTGGTACCTTAATTCTTTTTCAGAGTTGTTATGTTTGCCCTTTTGGACATGTTTTGAGGTTCATCGAACATTTTCTATTGTTGGAATGAAATTATTTACTTACACACACAAAAAAAAACCCTTCGAAGCTTTAGAACAATAGTGCATTTATTTTCCTTTTTTTTTTCTTGCAAAGAACAACACTATAAGTTACTACAAATCACTATCCCTCTACAATATCATCCTAAGGGTGGGATTATGAAATATACAAAGCTGGGCACTATATGCTATTTTCAAGTTAATTAATATTTATACTTCAACTTGTTGGCTTCTCATAAGCCCTTGAGGATTGCCATTTTCTGGTGACACTGTGATAACAACATGGTCGCCACTACCACCATCGCTAACAGGTTTTACGCTCCCACAATGAAATAACTGTGGTTTCTCAGGAGTTATATTTGATTTCACTGTCTTGAAACGAGCTTGGTCTGAAAGCTCATGGATGGATTCTGAAATATTTTCGACGCAGTCAATGATGTTAATCAGTATTGAAGCAACTGTAACGGCTGATATGACTTCGAGGAGGTCTGTTTCTACTGTCATAGAAGCCTCAAGTGCAATTTTCAATTCCTCAACAGCTGTTTTGGAGTTTTGAAGATGGAGATCACAAGAAGATGGATTTGTCATATTTTTGATGGCTGAGGCTAATTCCTTTAAAGCCTTGCTTGATTCTGAGCTCAGCTTTGTGCATGCTTGTTGAATTTTTCTTCGAAATTCTAATGGTGCCTGCAGGGAAAACAATTGATTCAGGTGTACGAATTAGGATGTGTTATAACTTATAAGAAAATGAATGGTTCACAAATTTGAAAAAAAAACAAAAACAAAAAATCACGTTGGTTACACTTTTTTTTAAAAATAATTTTTGTTTAGTTTTTTGTATTCTGAATAACATTTTTAATTATTCTTTTAGTCCCACTTTTATGTATTTAAAATTTAAATTTAATTGAGACCCTGTCAATTTTGTTTTTCTTTTTTGGTTCAATATTTCAGTTAGTATAGCATAACCCATAATTTATTGGTTGGCTGCCTGTGCAAAATAATTGGATTGTGCAAAAACCCAAAAAGAGAGGACCAAAGAAAAGGATAAAAAAAAGGCAGTGAGGCCAATATACAGGGGAAAGTCTACGGAATCGTTGGCGATACGGTATCGAAAATTATAATTTTTTAAGGTTAAATTTTAATTATTTTAAGGTGTAAGTTACATTTTATAAATTACATGATTAATTATTGAAAGTTACAATCGAAATTAAAAATTACAACAGCGAAGTTATAGTTATTCAAGGACAGTCAACCATCATGAATATCAGTGATTAATCATGACATTACCTTGAATCGTAATGGGGTAATACCTGATGCTGATTGTTTATGTAGCCATTGAGAGTTTCAATTTGGTAAGCGCATTGGCGAGAAAGGACACCAATCTTCAAGTATTGTTTCCATGGATGACCGAAACTGAAACGACCATGACTGGGTTCCCACCATGCAAAATTTGCCTGAAAAGTACAGTGAAAATGGATCAATTTTCATATATATCCTGAAAAAGTGTCATGGTATTGTCAGTGGCTTTTGATGCCTTTTTGAATCACAATTCACTATGTATGAATAGAGACAGAAAAGAAGGATCATGCGAAATGGCAAAAGTAAGTGGAGAGAGAGAGGGAGATCTACTTACCAGGGATTCTTCATTGGCTTTTGAGTTGAGGACATTTTTATAATCTTGAAAAAATGAGTTATCACCATTAGAGACCATTGCACTATCTCCATCTTCAGAAACTCTAAAGTATTCACCTCCAAATCCTGGTATGTCATTTTCCTTGGTAAGTTTGAAAGCACACGTAACTCATGACGAAGATAATAGACAAATGAAGAGGTGGTTTCTTTAAAATTTGGATGCTGACAAAGATGTCTGGTACCGAAAGTTATAATTTTTTTGGGTTATACAATTTTTTATTTCTTGTTACCAAAAAGTGCCGAATAACTTCGGTTTTAAATATTGAATTTGATTATCAAACACCACCTTAACAAACGTAACGTACCTTCTAAGAAGCTTGCAAGCTTTTCTATGTTGTCAGCAACAAGATTGTGAAGGTCTTCACCAGCCCATACTGGGCAAACAAAAATGGATATTATCATACATGTTGCAGCACCGATGATTATCGTGGACAATCGCTGATGGCCGAGTTCAAAGATTTTTTCCACACGATAACCCGAGACCGAAACCAAACTGAATGTCAATATGAAGATCAGAACTCCATAATCAAACCTCCTCTTGATATGTGGAAAGAATCTCATAAATGTAGATGTTGCAGCTGCATGAACATTTCAAGCTTGTATAAGTTTCTCATTATTTTCCTCTATATTTTCAAGATATAATTTATATTGAATCATACCTAGAAGGAAAACCAAAAGCCCAAGAACAATGGGTTCTCCTTGCTTCCCAAAAAGGGTTGCAAAGTACTCAGTTCCAATCCCTAGAGCACCGGCTAGTAATGTGGCGAAACCTCTATTTAGACTTTTGCACAAGGTTGCACCTGAAAAAAATAAATAAATAAAAACATTAGCATTACTTAAAAATGAGAAAATTTGTGATTTTGATGTTAAGATCTAATACAACTTGGGTTTGGTTGGGCATTGATAAGCTAATTCGCTTCTGAGATGATGTTTGGGCGTGCCACTCTCCCCAGAGATGCATGATAATCTCTTGCGTGGCCCTAAAATACCTTCTATGCAATCTTAAAGACGAAAAACTTATTTACGGATGTATGCATGTATATAACCGGTCGGTTTATAGCATGCACCTATTTGTTTTTTAATTTTATATTCTCTTTGAGACTAGATTATTATAAATCATAAACAATTTTTCCAAGAGTAAAACTCTGGGAAGTCTGACAAATTAATTAAATGTATAACTTACCAACTGAGAATTCGAAAACAACCACAACAGTTAAGACTGCCCACATTCCTGATTGCCCAAAACCATCATATAGAGGCCTGAAATAGTAGAATAAGGAGACCAATGTGAGAGCTAGTCCAACCTTCAGTGAGTGTATGATTCTTCTTGGATCATCTTTTCCGAGCTTCTTTGTTTTGTTCACAATCTCAATCACCTTGGCCTTCTTAATATTCCAGGGCAAGGCCTTGAGCCAGCCACACCCACGGGTGGTCGACCCGGTCTTTTCTTGGGTGGCTGAACCAATTTCCATGGCTGAATAGTATAAGAACTAAGAAGGCCCACTTTGTATGGTGTGAGAGAAGTGATAAGAGAAGGTTATCAAGTGAAAGGAGAGCTAAGATATGTAGAGCTTGTGAGGGTGGTCTTTAATCTTATAAGCTATATGGACCGGACCTCACAAAGACAAAGAGAGAGAGATACATGCATATGGAGGGATCTCACCAGTCTAAATTTATAAGGAGTAAAGTCGGAAGGAAGATACATATATATAGTAGTAACACTTACATGTGTAGGCCCAGTGGGGTGTGTTTGGTTCGAAGTTTGACGAGAAGACAAAGATTTTCTTTGACAAAACAGAAGAGACTTTGCAAGGTGGCTGACTATGCGTTTTCTTCGATGTGGGTCGTAATTAATAACTAAAAAACAAAATCCTATGACTAAAAGCTCATACTCCAGCTCCCTAATTTTCTAGGCGGTATGTTTCCATGTTACTACCTGTTCCTAATTGAGTTGAGTTTGTCAAATTTAAATATAACTCAAGTTATGATTTATTAACATTTTGAATTTGATCCGAACTTGATTAAATTGTTATTGAAGCGCAATTTGACAAAAGCATAAGAGCCTTCTTGGAATGTACATTATCAAACTTTAGAATTTCAAATTTTTTAAACAAATCTATTTGAGAATAGAGGAAAAGTGAGGCGTAAATGGCCTAAAGTTATTTGGGGATAAGTTTAAGATAGTATATTTTTAAGATAAGATTTTTTTTTTCTTATAATAAAATTAGAATAAGTAATAAACAAAAATATATTCGAGCTAAAGAGATCTTGTTCAAATAGGACTATATTGTCTATATTTAGCTTGTGTACAAAACAAATCTATAATTATAAGCCGTTTTAATATAATTTTTTTCGTTTGAATGAGTGAATATTAAACCAAACTCGAGTTGAGCTTAAATTCTATAGATTGTTTAGCGGCTCTACTTTTAGCTACATGCTTCCCTTCCCCCTTCCTCCCTCCCTTGTCTCTCTCTCTCTCTCTCATACAAGCACACACTGAAACCAAATTTTACAAACCATTATAGCAATATGGTGCTAAATGGCATGTGGACAATGTTGAAGTTGAAACATGCACTGTATTCCACTGGTGATGGGCTGGGGAATGGTTTTTTTAAACTCAGTGTTCTCACTCATATGTAGAGTTGAGATTGCTTTTTCCATTTTGTTGAAGTCACAGAAATAAATACGTAATAAATGAGTGGTCTTCTTACAATATTTATTGACTATCACATGCCCAACCCTAAATGCATCAAAACAAATTGAGGCAATCTGTAAATAAATAGCCACTACATGCAATGGACAATGTTGATAAGTAGTTGAAGTACTGTAGATGTACGGTTTCATCACACATGGTCACCTCTATAATGCCGTGTACGGAAAAAAATTGTGTAACGCTTTATTTATTACACTTTTGTTGGATTACCGTAATCTCCGTAATAGATTTGATTACAATATTAAAAATTATTTATTAATTCAATAAAATATGACATGTGTAATATGTACTTCATAACGATACCCCCGTACGGGGTCTCTAATTATAATGTACAGCTGTGGTTTAGATATTTAACGTGATTAATAGATGAGTGGTTAATATGCTTGTTATGATTAATATGTTTACTGTTGTTAACATATAAATTTTAAGATTAACTTTTGGATAATAACTTCAAACGATTTAAGTTGTTGTTCTACTTTATATCTTAGGTGCGCTTTACTCTAATTTTATATATTGTGCGTACTAAATCTTGTATAATATAAATACGAGAACATATTTTTCTCTTGGTGAACTCGAATGAGTCAGTCGAATGGTCAACCCTACTGCTTGGAACAGCCTGTGAGGTCCGGTGGTAGCCTGGAACGATAATGGGAGACCCTCGTGGATCAACGGAACGATCCAGTAAGGCTGAGGAAGGTTCCTGGAACAAAGAAAAACAAGTTAGAAGGGCGCCGGAGTATTTTTCGGCATATCCCCTCCGACGATCAAGTCAGTTTTTGAGAGAGAGGAAGAAAAAAACACTGAGTATAAGTTTGAAAAAAGGTTTCACGTTCTCCCTTCTCTTGCCTTTTGTGAAGAGTATTTATACCTCAAAAACTCATGATTGCTGTCAGTGTGGTCAGTAGGTGATCATTAGATACGGGCAACGTGCGCACTGATTCCTATGAGGAATGTCTTCTCTTTTAACTGCTCGGGATCCCGAGCAACCAAGTCTGTGTCATTGGCCTGCCGACTGTTTAATGAGCTCTTCTCGGCAAGGATGTAATAAATGCCCAGCCTTTGAGACATTTATTACCTTTCACTTCCGAGTCTTACCGCATTAAATGCTGTCTCATCAAGGGAATGATGTAATTAAATGCTTGCTTTCCCAAGTCGTGTGTCAGCAAGGGAATCCGGTCTTTTTGTCTCTGATGCGACACAATATGCCACACGTTCATTCCCCATTAGCTGTATCCCCTGTCTTCTTGTGCCTTCTGACACCAATTGTGTAAGACGAGGTCATGATGGCTAACATAGCCTAGCCTAGGCTAGTGACCTGTACATCAATAACCTCTGCAGGAGCAGAGAACGCCATCTTGGACGGGTATATCTCGGTACCGAGGGGGAGTGTACATGTAGGGACCGATGTACCATATCCGACCCGAGGGATAAGTGTCGGTACGTAACGTACTGGGTGTCATTGATCCCCATGAACAGTACCTCGGGGGAACAGGGACTTGTGATCCGACGGATGTGTGTTGTGATTATAGTAAAAGAATTTATTGATGCCGAGGACACGTGTCTTCATCTTGGAATACTTGGAAATGTTCCATCAACTGCCCCCCAGCCTTCGATCTCCTGACACCAAGGACACGTGTCGTAAGGAGACGAAGGGTTCTGCAATTACCCCAACTACTTTATCATTGCCTTCAGCCGCTTTCCCCTACTTCGGAGGTTGTGCGCATTAAATGCGCCTCTTCGTGCTTCGTGTCCAAATGATGGGGATGAGTACTATATAAATGGGCTTCCTCTGTCTCTCTTTCACTTTGCCATTTCAGAGAGCCATTGCCTGAAACCTCGTCGGAGATCCCTTTCCTTTCGTCGTCTACTGTCCAATCTTTCACCAGAGTCTTAAGGCCAGCAGACCCATCCTTGCTTCTGAACATTTTGGAGGAAGGAGTCGCTTCAAGTTTCAAGAAAAAAACTTCCTTTTACGTTCTGGTGAGTCCTTGTATCTTCCCTTTCTTCGCCCTCTGTCTTTTCTCTTCTTCTCGTTTTTTTTTGTTACTTTTGGTTTTTCGATAACTGGTGGCGTTTCTGGTTGCCACTCAACGACCAATCCCCGGGAAGCCTCCTTGGGGATCTTCGTGAAAAAACCCCCTCTTTTTTCACTTTTTATTACTTTTTGGAGATGCCCCGTTGTCGCCCTGCCCCCGAGAATCCTCAGGCCAGTTCTTCAAAGCCAGGGAAGTATAAAGTAAAAAGGGGAGAGCAAATTAATAGTTTTAGGGTCAAGTACAATATCCCCCCATATGTAGACATAGAAGATTGTGACTTGGCTGTGCATTCCCGTACCCTCGGGGCCTAGGATGAGATGCCTTTTTATACCAAAGCCATCATAAAGGGTGGAATTAGGCTTCTTCTGCCCCCTCTACTCGTCCAGTTCCTCTCCCATTTTCACCTCTTTCCCGGGCAGTGTTGCCTTAATTTCTTTAGAATAATTATGGGAGTCTTAGAGCTCAACAAGCGTCTCGGGGTAAATATTAGGCTGAACGATATCCTCTTTTGCTACTCCCTCTTGAGAGTCATACCTCAACAAAACTTCTACCTCAAAGCCAGAGACTCATCCATGTACCTCGCAACTCATCTTCCCGACTCGGACAAGGGGTACAAGGATGACCTACACATCTTCAACAGATCTTGGTAGAGGGGTGCCGGTCCCGAGTACAACGGCTTGTTATGCCCTTTGGAATGGAGAACGACAAGTACGTCGACTTCTTTGGGTCTATTTTTTTGTTCTTGAGATTTTTTAGCAGAGTTCATAACTCACTCCCCTCTCTTTTTATTTGTGTGCAGACATCTCCACTTGGGAAACAGCTCCTCCACCTCGGTTCTTGGTGAACTTTGCCGATCTAGTCATTGTTTGGAGATTTACTAGTGATGACGGGTTCGGTCGGGCTGCCCACATCCTCCTGAATTATACTCCCGGATATAAAAAGTTTTCACAGTTTTTCCAGCCTTTCGAGCCTTCACGGTGGTCTGAACTCTTCAATCAGGCAGTGAGGCAAGAGGACGATGAGAACTTGGAGGAAGACCCTGACCGGGCTACGGAGGCAGAAGTAGAGGGTGAAGTTAAGGAGCTCGGGGTTAGAGAGGATTTGGTTCCTTCGCACGCCAAGGTGGGGACTTCGGGGAGAGATTCGTGGCCTGATTTTCAAATCCTACAATCTCTAGACGCCGAGGACGCCCTTGAGATAACTATGTCTAACACGCCTCGCATTGATCTGGGATTCCTGAGGCAGAGGCAAACCCTCGCTGCCGGGGGGCCGTAGGTCAACCAGCGGGGCCCTACTTACAGGGACCAGCGCCACCCCACTTTCAAGGGCCGTTGGTCGGGGTCAAGTTCGTGATTGAGATCCTCAGGTCGAGGTGGAGAGAAGGATTAAACAAAGGCACGATGGCCTGGGCAGGGGATCCAGGGCCCCTCCGCTCAGCAGCAAAGCGGGAGAGGCCGTGGGTTACCTCCTCCTCCATAGCAGCAACAGCAGCAGCAACGACAACAACAACAGCAACAGCAGCAGGGGCAGACCTCCCTTCCCTTCCGCAGACGGTGGAAGCCGCGGAGTGGAATCCTCGGGCCACTGATCACATGAACCGAGTGATCAGGGTTGACGACTCCATTTTGCAGGACCCCCATGTTGCCAACGCAGTGAGTGAGACGCTGCACTTCGAGGCCGACATGGTGGCTCACAGGGGGCGATCAACGAACGTGTTGTTTCG